TGCCCAGAGGTACCTAAGAAGAAAGGTATGGCAATAAATTTCTGAAAAATCAGCCTTTGAAAGTGGTTTGATTCACTGCTCTATTCTGACACACGTGGTGTCACTGTCAGTCGGAATTGGTTTTAGAATTGGCTGAATAACAGAAAAATACCTGGAAGCTGGGGTCCTCATAGAAGGGGAAAGAGGAAGTGGGGGTCATGACCTCCAAGGGACCTATAATAATGAAACAGTGTGTCTTAGTATTCCCCAATATAGTTAGCCTGGCTGATTTCTGTTTTGGGAATAACTGTGGCATATCAGAAACTTGTATTTTACTAGATTAGGTGCACATTTAATTGCTTTAGTAAAGTGTTGAGTCCCTGGTTAGTGCAATGGTTAAGCACTGGTCTTCTAAGCAAAACACTGGCAGTTTGAAATCACCCAGAGGTATCTCTGAAGAAAGGCTCATAATCCGCTTCCAAAAGATCACAGACATGAGTAGGACTGAATGCAGTTCCCCTCTGAAACGCATGGGATCACTCTGAAACAAATCAACTTGGCAGCAAGTAGGATTTTTTGTTTTTGTTTCGAAGGCTGGGAACAGTTTTTCCCTCTCACACATAAGTTACAGAGCACAGTTGATCTATAGGATAAGCACTGGATTGCGAACCACAAGGTCAGCAGTTCGAGTCCACCAGCTGCTCTGAAGGAGAAGGATGGGGCTTTCTGTTCCCAAAAAGATTTACAGCCTCAGAAACCCTATACAGGGTCACTATGAGTTGAGACGGACTCGACAACACTTAGCAACAACAATAACGCATAAAGTTTACTTGGACAGGTTTACCTCCTTTTGTTAAGTGCCATTGAATCAGTTCCTACTCATAGCAACCCAGTATTGGGTTTCCGAGGAGCAGCTGGTGAGTTTGAATTGCCGACCTGGTGGTTCAAACTGACCTTGAGGTCCTGCACTTTTCCTACAGTGCAACAACAGGACTCCTTAAGAGATAACTAATAGTTCATCTGAGTTCCATCTGTGCATCCTCACTCTTCCAAATATGGAAGTCACTTCAGAGTTCTTTCAGTGTTGATGAAGCCTATTTGAAAGTGCCTCCTTCACTGCTTCACTCTGACTTTTTGACAGCCCCCACTCCATGGAGTCCTGGTGTGGTGCTGCAGGATAATGCATTGGACTTCAAGGTTAGTTTGAACTACAAGGTCAGTGGTTCAAACCCACCAGCTGCTCCTCGAAAACCCTATACAGAGTCGCTATGTGTCAGAAAAAACTCAACGGCACTCAACAACAACAATGCTTACTCTAATAGCTGGCTTTAGTGAAGTTTCTCTTCAGGATGCTCTTACACAGATTTGTTCTTATTGCAGATTTGAAACTGATTTCATTTTCAGAGAATGTTTCTGTTTCTTTTCCTCTAGGATTTTTTATGTCTCTCATGATTCCCAAGACTTGAAGATCTTCAGCTATATTGCTCGAGATGGTGCCAGCAATATCTTCAGGTGTAACGTGTTTAAGTCCAAGAAGAAGGTAAATGGGCAGTTACTGGTCATCTTTCATTTTTCTCTGTTGGACCCAAGGCACCCCGACCTTAATCCATTTCCTTGTTGATGTAGGAGCAAAATTTAGAACTGGCTATTTTAATGCCAGATATGGGGAACTAGCTCAGTAGTCTGTTATTATTTCTATATAATGAAATTCTCTTATAATTTCATTTTAGCTTTGTACTTAGCTATATGTGGACAGTTGGGGAGAGGTATAGACCATTGGATAAGAGCTCAGGAAAGGGAGTGGGGTAGGCGTGATGCCCACCTTGGCGTGTGCTAGAAAAAAAGTCATGCCATTTATTAAGGTGATCTTCATAGAAATTCTGTACACTGGATCAATGGACTACAAATCATGGCTGCTGGAATTTGATGTGTGATATTGGTAGCGTAGTGGTTACGAATTGGGCTGCGAACCTTAAGGTCAGCGGTTCGAAACTACCAGCCGCTCCACGGGAGAAAGATGAGGCTTTCTACTCCCGTAAAGATTTACACCCTCGGAAACCCTGTACAGGGTCGCTATGGGTCGGAACCGACTCGATGGCACTTAACAACAACAACAACAATTGGTTGTCATAGATGACTATTTTGGTGTCATATGGTGTTGGTATACCAGCCTTAATGCTGAAGCTGAGGCAATGGTAGGATTTCTATAGAGGCAGAAGTGGGGAAGGATGGGAAGGACATGTCTGTGAGGGTTTCCCTCACCAATCCTGGTTAACCTCCACCCAGAAGTCTAACACAGAAACACCAGGAATGAGGAAACCTGACACCTAGCCCCACTTCTGCACTGCAACCCTGAGTGATGTTATGTGGGTTACTATCCTTTTCACTCTTCTATGAGGACCTCAGCTTCCAGGTATTCTTTCTGTCATTCAGCTGATGGCACAGTGGCTAAGTGTACAGCTTCTAACTAAAAGATTGATAGTTCAAACCCACCAACCTCTCCCTGGGACAAATATGTTGCAGTCTTCTTCCAGAAAAACATACCTGTAGGGCAGTTTACTCTCTTCTGTTGGATCGGTATGAGTTGGAATTGGTTTGATGGCAGTAAGTTTGGTTTGACTTGGTTTTCACACCTCTAATAGTCCCAGAAGGAGCTCTGGTAGTGTAGTGGTTACAAATCGGGCTGCTAATCTCATGGTCAGCAGTTTGAAACTATCAGCTGTTCCACGGGAGAAAGATGAGACTTTCTGCTCCCGTAAAGATTTACAGCCTCGGAAACCCTGTGCAGGGTCGCTATGAGTCAGAACTGACTCCATGGTACTTAACAACAACAATAGTCCCAGGAAATCCTGATGTGGTGTTATAGGAAAAGCACAGAACCGTTAACCAAAAAGTTGTTGGTTCAAAACCACCAGTTGCTCCTCGGAAACCCTACACAGGGTCACTATTAGTCAGAACTGACTCAACAGCACTTAGCGACAACTACAATCATCTCAAGTTCTTTGTCTATCTAATGAGAAGGATAGCCAAAATCAGCATTTCCAAAAATATATTCTGCAAAACATTTGTCACCCAAAATGTTTCATGTTAAAATTACTAATGTTGCTGGGAAGTCTTGAAGTTGAAGAATCTCCTTTTGCTTTGCTTAGCCCAGCATTTCCCAGACTGATTAAGCCATGGGACCATTTCCACTTTGCTCTCCATTTAATATGTAAGACCAAAGAAGAATTGATGCCTTTGAATTATGGTGCTGGCAAGAATATTAAATGAAGGAAGAATAAATAAATCTGTGTTAGAAGTACAGCCAGAATTCTCCTTAGAAGTGAGGATGGTTTGACTTAGCCTCACATATTTTGAACATGTCATCAGGAAGGGTCAATCCCTGGAGAAAGGACATCATGTTTGGGAAAGCAGAGGATCAATGAAAATGAGGAAGACCCCCACAATGAGGTGAATTGCCACAGTGGGTGCAACAATGAACTCAAACTTAGCAATGATTGTGCGGATGGTACAGGACCCGGCAGTGTTTGCTTCTGTTGTACGTAGGGTCACTGTTGAGTTGGAGCCTAGTCAATAGCACCCAACAATAACAGCAACAATATGTGTTAACATACTGGAAACTTTTTTTTCTGCACAGGAAATTTGGAAAGTATTATAAACCTCTGATGACCCTTGTGGTTTCCCTGGAAGAAACAGCTGATTAAGTGCTCAGCTACTAACTGAAAGGTTGTGGTTCAAACCCAGAGGTGCCTTGGAAGACAGATCTGGTGATCTGTTTTGAAGAGGTCACAGCCTTGAAACCCTACGGTGCGCTTCAACTCAGCACACATGAGGTCACCATGAGTAGGAATCGACTAGCAACCAGGTCTTTACAACTCTGCCATTCTGAGAACAAGCCACTAAGCCTGACTACCTATAAAGACTACTTCTAACCCCTTCCTGCATACTCTTCTGATGTTGGGCTTCATCTTGTGCCATAAAGTAGGTTCCTTGTCAAGTGGAGATAATAAGAATAGCACATTATAGGGTTGATATTTATTAATGTTATATGCTCCATTTCCCATCCTAACCCCACAAGATTTTTACTTTGCTAAATGGCTTCTTCTTTTAAGGAGATGTGCCCCTTCCCCGCCTTGTTTTTAGACCTTTCAATTGGAATTCATGGAATCAGTTGGAAAAAGCTATAGTGGGGGAGGCTGGTGGAGGAAATTCCACTTGTAGGTAATAGTAAAGTAGGCAACAACAACAAAAAACACCACTAACTAAAAGTAAAATAGTAAGGGAGGCTAAGTTGATCTACATATTAAAGGACTGAGAGAAAGGCGAGTAGGCAGAGAGAACGAAAAGCCATAGGGTTTAGAGATGAGAACTTGAGGTCTGTGACAATGAAAGTCTCTCATGTAGCTTTGAGATATATGGGGAACTGGGAAAGAGGAGAAAGGATATACTAAGTGTTCCTAAGATCTATGAATTGGATCATCTGTAGTGTTTTTTGATAGATGCTACTAAAGATTAGAATCTCCTCTCAATTCTTTTTGAGTGTGTGCTTCTTTGACTTTAGTTTTGTAGTGACTGGACTATGTGGTACTTGGAATTTATCAGTTAGAGATGACACTTTACCATGTGCCAAGTGCTTTAATACTTACTTTTATTGGATCACTATAACATCCAGATAAAGAAGACAAGACACGTAATTTTTTACCCTCAGTTTTACAAATGAGTAAATTGAGGCTTACAGAGATTGATTTGCCAAAGGTCATATGATATAGATAGACACTGGCTAGAGCCAGGTATACATGCAAAACAAAAGAGTACCATTATATTGTAGTTGCTATGTCATTGGACCTTAGTGTAGCAAACACAGTGGGGGCATCCAGTTCTGCCAAAATCTGAGTCTAAAAGCAGTGTCCACCTGAAACTTTGATCTTGATGAAGTGAAGAACAGACTCAAGTTTCCTACTGCCTTATGAATAATTCTCAGGAGCCCTGGTGTGGTGATGTGGGTTAATGTGCTGGACTTCAAGGTCAGTGGTTCAGCTCACCAGCCATTCCTTGAAAACCCTATACAGGGCCACTATGAGTTGGACCAATTCATTGGCACTTAACGACAACAACAAATGAATAATCCTCTAGATCCCTGTCATATCCATTGTTTTTGATGTCCCAGAGCCCTCAGTGATAATTCTGCTCCTTCCATGTCCTGTATCCCTTTCACTCCCTTCTACTGAGACTGTAGCTCTTCATAGCATTGGTTCTCAGGCCCTTTACTGGCCTGTGGCCATGCAGCTGAGGGAATTATTTCCAGACAGCCCAGACTGTGAGCCTTGTTCCTGCTGAACTATAGGTAGGAAGGCCAGTTTCCTAGCCAGGAAAGAGAAGTGAATTGTTCCCCAAAGGAAGTAAAATTAGGGAGAGGTAGAGAACGTGTCTGCAAGAGCTTTGCACACCATCCTAGTTAGCTTCCAAATATGGTGATTTACTTTTTTGTAAAACACTTCTGGTTTCAGGAGATAATAGTTAACTTGGAAAGGAGTTTTAATTGGCAAGATGTAGGAATATTTAAAAAGCAAAGGGAAAAGGGTTATAGATTGTAGGTGAGATGCAGACCCTGAGGAAATGTGTCTTGCAGGGAAATGTCTGGTTCATTGGAGGTCAGTAGGCAGATCCCTTGACTGGAAGCCAGGAGACCTGGATGTTCTCCAGAGCTTTACAATTGATCATAATGTGAAAGACCTTGTATATGCTGCATGCTATGCTGGGGCTTTAGTTATTGCTATTGCATGTCACACCATGTCATCGCACATTTGTCATGACAAGCTTCTAATGTTGGTGTCATCCTTACCCCCCAGATGATCAGAGGGAGTGGGATTTTTCTCTTCTGCTAGTTGAGAATATGGGTTAAGTATCTCAATTTTTCTGGCAGAGGATTTCCCTGTACCTTGTTCCCAACAGGTTACCATTCCGTACCTGTGGATCTTCCTTGAGTCGCCTGCATATATGTATGTAGTTCTCATCTTGGGAACATTAATCTAGATCTGGGTGGGGTTTTTTGGTTTTGCTTTGTTTTAAGTTGGTTCTTAACAGTAAGCTTATGAATCAAGTTTCTGTTGGCCTATTAATAGTCCTCTAGATTCCTGTCATATTCTTTTCATGTTCCAGAGCCCTCAGAGATAATCCTGTTCATTCCATGTTCTGTATCACTTTCGCTCTGAGACTGTAGTTCTTCACAGCATTGGTTCTCAGGCCCATGCTGCCCCGTGGTCATACAGCTGAGAGTAAAATACTGAAGAAAGCCATATAGTATCTGTTATCCATCAACTACCTTAGATTATCTGTTTTAGCTTTGTATTAAGGCAAATAATAATATGTAACTTTTTACTATGAGTCAGAACTGACTTAATGACACTTAACAACAACAACAATGTATCTGAGATCGTCTACATTCTTTTTATGAATGCTCTTTCATCATTTGCACAGTTGCCCTGTGAAGTAAGTACTCTGTATTTCATAGTTAATGAAACTGAGACTTAGGGGGCATAA